GTTCTTGTGTACGCATGGTATATCTTTCACCCTCTCTCTTTTAATTTATTTATTTTTTTTCTCTTTTGGTGTGTTTAGACTAGGTTTTTTTTATTGCTTTCTAGGTTAGTTCTTACTACTTTTTAAAAAAAAATAAAAAAAATCCAAAAAATATGTTCCAACGAATTATGAATCATGCCTGTGCCCCTTGATGAAAAATTTTCAAAATTGTTTTGATTCTTGGTTATTGATGATAAATATTGTGGATCAGTTGATCATGATTTAATATTTGATTGGCATGAAATCTTAACATGAGTCAATTTTGCCCAACTACTTGTGAATATAGTGTTTGACTAGTTGATTTGGTGAGGAATGTGTGTTAGTTCCTGGTATGTCAATGAAGTTGAGTATTGGTTTTTAACTTGGAGTAATGTTTGTATGACTCATTATTATGCACATTGAGGAGGACGAAGACGTTTGTTCTTTTAGGTGACCTTTAGATGATATTAGATACATATGTTCCCTTCTTGCTACCCATGTTGTAGCCTTGACTTTTCATTGTTTATTTAGCCACATTACAAGACTAATTTTTCCCCATTGGTTACTAGTCCCAAGCTTGGCCTGGGGGAGCTATTAGGGAGTGAGGTGAGGGAGTTTGTAGTGTGCTTATTTATTGCACAATGTGGGTGGGTTTTGAGAAGTTGTTTCGTTCTTGATTGTGGTTTATTTTTGATGAGTTTGAAAGTTGAAATTCCTTAAAAAAAATAAAGCATGATGAAAAAAAAGAGAGAATAAGTTTTTTTAAAAAAATGTGAACTTCAAAAGAGGAAAAAAGAGCAAAAGAAAAAAATTGTTTCAATGTTAAAGTGTTCTAATTGAAAGTTGCTCAAGAAAAAAATTCAAAATAAAAAAAAATTCCAAGTTGCAAAGAAAAAAAAAAATTCAAAGTTTGTTTGTTTCACTCAAGTTCTATAAATTCATGTGTATGAGTTAAGTTGTATGTGTTGAAAATATTGTTAATATTGGTTGGTTTGTTTGGTGAATTTTTGTAGAGTTGAGTTGAGTTGTGTTGGAGATGATTTGGTCATCATTTATTTTTGACCTTGATTTTATTTATTAGGATTTTGGCTCCCTTAAGCATGACTTTGCTCTCACATTTTCCCAAGTGTTTCCTATCCTTTTACCTTAGCCTTACATTATAAGCTTTGAAAACCTTCCAACCTTTGTGCATAGAGTTGTATGAATGTGAAATTGGTTGTTTATCAATGCAAAGAATGATTTGACATATTCCAAGTCGACTATTAGGTTGAGTGTATGTCTTCTTAAACACACTAGTGCATGAGTTGGGATGACATTGTTCACATATAAAAGGGGTGGTTGGAGAGCGATCGAGTACATCTTTATCAATGCAAAGAATGAGAGTTGAGTGTGTGAGCACTAGTCTTGAATTCTATATGCTCTTGTGGTTTGCTCTATTTGACAATTGTTAGGGAAGATTGGTAGTTAGATGGATTTGATTGATTGACTTTGATACATATTTCTCAGATTTACCTTGAATCGTATTTATTGATTTAAATTGTATTTCGGGTGAAATATTGATTTATTTATTCATTACTTTGCTTAGGGACAAGCAAAGGTTTAGCTTGGGGGAGTTTGATGAGTCTATTTTATATATTATTTTATTCCCTGTCCCATGGTCATATTTGTGCTTATTTGAGCTCTGGGAGCTATTTTTATTACTAATATACATTTTCTAGTGTTTTTGTAGAGTTGATATTATTTTGTAGGAATATGCAGAATTACGGCAATTCCCAAACTTATTTAAGCCACTACGGAAATATTAGAGACGAATCGTATTTTATGACCAAATATTTGAAACCTAAGGTCGAGCTAAAGGAATTTTGGATCGACGATTAAGGGCTCAATTTTAGTGAAGGAGTTCAAGTTTAGCAAACAATATACAAACCAAACAAGTTAGGATTGGGCCAACCTTGAGAGCAGCCCAAGAAAAGACATACTGCTGGGTGTGAGTTTTTGGCGGGCCTGATCGGTCGGACTAATAGCCTGATCAGGCGGGCGTGATGCAGGCCTGTTCTTTAAGTCGGTGAACTTTGTTCAGCTTAGGGGGTTCCGTTATAAAGAGGGAGTAGTAGTAGGAAATCAGCTATTCATTGTTTTTAGGGGGATTTCATAATTTATTTGGGGTTGACTTTATTTTTAGCTTTTACGGAACTTTGGCTCAAGTTTTCTTTAGTTTAGTTTTATTGTCTTCCCTTATTATTAGCTAGTTTATAGTTTGGTTTTTCTTCTTTTATGCTTTTTAGTTTTAAAATGATCAGGCTTTCTTTTTCGTAATTTATGTTCTTCGACCTTTCATACTAAGTTTTAATTGTTAATTTGTTTCTTGTTAATTTATTAATATTCTTGTTTTTATTATGTTTAATTTAATCGTTTTGATTAATTTAGTTTTAATTATGCACGAGTAGTTTATTTCTAGGGTTGTGGGGATCCATGAATAATATGAAGGGATGATTTATTATTGTTGATTGTTAATGTTTTGGGTTAATTTCCTATTGATTGATATAATGCTATGCAATTAGATTAGCGCTGGTTTAATTGTATGAGTTACGCTAAATTGATTCGAGATTCGACAGATGAGAATTGATGTTAAGGCTCAGTTTCAATAGGTAGGTTAATTTATAAATGGTTAAGTCAAGATTCGAGTGATGCGATTTAATACCGCAAGGTTAATATCGTGATTATAATACGCAGTGAACGCCCTTTATAATCTGGTTAATTTATGCATTAATAATTGATTGTTGTCTTTCATCCCGGAGTATTATTTATTGGTGAACCTATGCCCTAGGGTTTTATTTATTTGATTTTCTCTTGGTCTTATTTGCTAAGTTTAATTTGTTTTCTTAGATAAATTCACATAAAATCATATTTGTAACTTGATAATTTAGATTATAATAATTTATTAGGAATAAAAAAAAACATTGTTTTCCTCTGAATTCGACCCTACTTCCCTACCTGTTTTAGTTAGTGGTTTTAGGAATTATTTTTGATTACGTGAGACGACTATAGCCTGTCAATGGTTTGATCCAATCTAACTCCCCATAGTAAGTCAGGGTCGAGTAAGTCTCCCCTCCTACCTTTGCTTGTCCCACCTCATAACTCAGCTTTCTTTATGGCTATCCTAGTGATTGGGCCACCGAAATAGATTGGGGTTTTAACGTTTTTGTCATAGGAATTCCCATGCCGGTTCAAATGGTTGGCAATATAACAGACAATGTTCAGTTTACCCAACCCATAAACATAGTGGCCTAAGATAGCAAGTTCAAAAGATTGGGCGTTATAGTCCTAGAAAATTTTTGGAAGATTTTAGGGACGGGATGGTGGAAGGAAATGGTACTAGCATGTTGGGTGTTAGGGCAAGGTTTTCCCGTCAAGGCATAATAAACCAATTCAGCTTTATAATTTTCATGTTGCAAATGGAAAAGGGATGCGTCAACTTCAAACAAATTAGCAAATTCAACAAGTGTCAATTCAATATTTCTATTGCTCAACCTAAAATGCATCATAGGACCATTTTTAGCTTTACCAATACTTAAGGAAGACAAAAATTCACATGTGTTTTCATAGTAAGTATGATAGTGCATTTTCACAAATTTTCTCATTCTTATATCATTCATGAATCGCCTAACATGATCATAAACACCTAATGAAGTAAGAGTTTCTCGGTGTAACCACCGAGTAGAAATTACCTCCCTCTCATAGAGGTTGAGCAATCTCGCCTTTTGTTCCGGGGTGGTAATGATGATCGTCGGCCATTCTTCCTTGAGTTGTAAGGATTGATCAATTTGTGGTGCGGCCCTTGATCTAGAACCTTCGCCCCTTTGCATGCTTGATCGTATGCTAACCACGATTGAAAATGGGTCTAAAATTTTTTGTTTCATAAACAAACAAAGTTAGTATAGGGATGAAGAGGGTGAAGAGTAGATGAAAAATATGGAAATATATTTGAATTTGGGTAAGAAATGAGGTAGAAATCTTAGATAGAAGGTGAGTGAAGAGAGTTTTCTAGAGAGAGAAGGTATGGAGGTTGAGTAGGAAAAGGAGGAAGAAAGAAAAAGATGATGGAAGAAGAAAGGAGAAAGAAAGAACGAAGGAAAAGAGAAGGAGATTCGAGGGAAGAAACACGCGCCCGCCCGGGCGGTTGATTGCCAGGTTGGGCGAAATTTTAGCCTTTGAAAATTGATCCTCGTGCCCGGTAGGGCAGTTAATCGCGCGGTTGGGCGATCGAACTTCAAAATGTCAGCCTTCACTCGCGCCCGGTCAGGCGCTGGTCGCCCGGTCGCCTGCCCGGGTAATCTTTTAAGGAACTTCTTTGTCGCTTGATCGGGCGATTTGATCTTCTTTTTCCATGCTATTTCTCGCGCCCGGTCGGGTGATTTTTGCTCTGAAATTAGCTTCCTTTTCGCGCTCAGTCGGGCAATTCTTCGTCTTCCAGATGCATGCTCTCGCGCTCGATCGGGCGCCCACCGCCCGGTCAGGTGCGCATATAGCGTTATTCTCTGATTCTTCTCTTTTTCTTCGAAATTTGGCTAACTCTTGGCTCCAAACCTATACAAAAACACTCTAACATGCGTAAAATTCCTTCTCTTCTTTTTATAAGAAAAAAAAGAAAAGAAAAATTACTCTAGAAAGCAAGTAAATACGGGTTGCCTCCCACAAAGCGCTGGTTTATCTAGGTCTTGCACGGCCTCCTTACCATATGTAGATCAAGATGAGGTAGAATCGATTAGGTGAAGTAATTCAACTACACCTATCGTAGCCCCTTCATAGTATATCTTCAACCTTTGGTCATTTACCTTGAAAACACCTCATTTTTCATCATATAATTCCACAGAACCAAATTTATTTGCCCTTTTCACAGTGAAAGGACCTGACCACCTAGACTTCAACTTTCCAGGGAAAAGTTTAAGCCTAGAATTAAATAACAAAACCTTATCTCTTTCTTAGAATTCTCTCGGAAGAATCTTCTTGTCATGCCATTTCTTGGTTTTCTCCTTGTAGACACATACACTATCATAGGCTAACAATTGAAACTCATCTAACTGGTTAAGTTGAAGAAGTCTCTTTTCTCCCGCTACCTTGGCATCCATATTGAGCCATTTGATTTCCCAATAAGCCTTATACTCTAATTCCACCGGGAGATGACATGCTTTCCCATACACAAGTCTATAGGGTGAAGTACCAATGGGGGTCTTAAATGCGGTTCTATATGCCCAAAGTGTGTCATACAACTTATTACTCCAATCCTTCCTAAACTTTGCTACCACCTTCTCCAGAATAGCCTTAATCTCTAGGTTAGAAACCTCAAATTGGCCACTCATTTGGGGATGGTAAGCTTACCCTGTTTTATGGTAAACACCATACTTCTTTAGAAGAGTATTTAACTTCCGCTCATGAAAGTGAGATCCTCCATCACTAATAATAGCTCGAGGGACACCAAATCTAGGAAAAATGGTTTTCTTGAAAAATTTGTGGACCACCTTAGCATCATTGGTAGGTGTGGCAACGACTTCTACCCACTTAGATACATAATCTACAGCTACAAGGATATAACGATTCCCTTTTGGAAAAGGATAAGGTCCCATATAATCAATACCCCAAACATCAAAAATTTCAACTTCTAAAATACCAGTTAGAGGCATCTTATGTCGCCGCGAAATATTGCCAGTCCTCTAGCAAGAGTCACAAGATAGAATAAAGGAATGAATATCCTTAAACATGCTTGGCCAATTGAAACCCGACTCATTAATCTTTGCAACGGTCTTGTGGGGCCATGATGTCCACCATAGGGTGAGTTGTGGCATCTAGTAAGAACACCATGAACTTCCCATTCGGGAACAGACCTGCGATTCTGCGCACTCCTACGAAACAAAAAAGGTCATCCCAAAAATAATGTTTCACATCATAAAGAAACCTCTTTTTCTGTTGGTAGGACTTGTCAGGAGGTAGTGTGTCGCCTACCAAATTATTGGCATAATCTGCATACCAAGGGTGTTGCTCTACAACTGCAAACAAATGGTCATCAGGAAAGGAATCATCAATAGGAATGGAATCCTTACCCTCATCATACCTGATCCTCGATAAGTGATCTGCTACTACATTTTTTGCTCCCTTTTTATCTTTAATTTCAACATTAAAATCTTGGAGCAAAAATACCCAACGAAGAAGCCTAGGCTTCGTTTCCGCCTTTGCGATCAGATATTTCAAAGCTGCATGGTTGGTAAAAACGATTAGATATGATCTAAATTTTTCTAAAGCATAAATTACAGCAAGAAACTCCTTCTCTGTGGTAGCATAGTTGACTTGAGCCTCATCTAAAGTTTTACTTGCATAGTAAATAGCATGCAAAACTTTGTTCTTCCTTTGTCCAAGCATGGCTCCTACTGCAAAATCATTGGCATCACACATAATTTCGAAAGGGAGATCCCAATTGGGAGCACATATGTTAGGTGCCGATATCAAAGCCTGCTTAATCCTGTAAAAAGAGTCATGACACTCGTCAGTAAAATCAAATGGGGCATCCTTGAGTAAAAACTGAGTTAGTGGTTTAGCAATTTTGGAAAAATCTTTGACGATAAAACCCCGCATGACCAAGGAAACTTCTAACCCCCTTAACATTAACTAGTGGAGGTAATTGCTCAATCACTAAAACTTTTGATCTATCTACTTGTATACCCTTATCAAATACAGTATGACCTAAGACCACACCTTTTGTCACCATAAAGTGACACTTTTCCCAATTTAAAACCAAATTACATTCTTCACATTTTTTCAAAATTTTAGTGGGACTAGCTAGACATGCATCAAATGAAGACCCATACACACTAAAATCATCCATAAAGACTTCCATGATAGACTCTATGAATTCAGTAAAAATGCTCATCATACAATGTTGAAAGGTAGCAGGGGCATTACATAATCAAAAGGGCATCCTACGATATGCAAAAGTACCATAAGGGTATGTAAATATTGTTTTCTCTTGATCTTCAGGGTGAATTTTGGAATTTGGAAAAATCCTCAGTACCCATCCAAATAACAGAAAAATTTATGATTAGCTAACCTTTCTAACATTTGATCAATAAAAGGGAGAGGGAAGTGATATTTTTTAGTGGCAATATTTAATCTACGATAATCAATGCACATACGCCCCTCTGTTACAGTTCTAGTGGGAAGTAATTCATTTTCTCATTTTTTACCACTGTCATCCCACCCTTTTTAGGAACCACCTGTACAAGACTTACCCACTTTGAGTCAGAATTCAGATAGATAATACCTACATCAAGTAATTTCATAACCTCCTTCTTAACGACTTCCTGCATGTTAGGATTTAACCTCCTCTGCGATTGAAACATGGTTTGTGATTGTCTTCTAAATGTATCATGTGCATGCAAAAGTTAGGGCTATTACCCTTGAGATCATCAATATTGTACCTAATTGCTCTTTTGAGGGTTCGGAGAACCTCTAGAAGTTGGGAAGTTTGGGGGTCATCGAATGCAGTACTAATGATCACGGGGTGCAATTCCTATTCATCTAAAAATACATATTTCAAGTGAGAAGGGAGAGGTTTAAGTTCAGGTTTCTTTACCTCCGAGGAGTACGAAACCTAAACTAATTTTTCTACCTTATCTCTCTCCTTAGGGTCAAGCTGCTCATTTGCTAGAGCTTTTTCAATAAAATCCACCTCATTGCTCTAAATGCCATCATCACTTGCAGTAAAATCACAACAAAGTACTTCCTCTAAGGGATCCCTTGCAAGGACCTGTGGTAAGCTATCATTGCAAATAATATCAATCACATCAATAATATAGCAATTGTCCTCTAATATAGGAACTTTCAAAACTCTCCCTAAAGTAAAGGTGATATTATCATCCCCGACAAAGAGAGTGAGTTTTCCATTTTTGACATCTACAATGGCTCCTGCAGTGAGGAGGAAAGGTCTACCTATTATTATAGGAATTTGTGTATTTTCAGCCATGTCTAAAACAATAAAATCTACAGGGATAAAAAATTTATCAACTCTGATAGGGACATCATCTAGAATACGTAATGGTTATTTAACAGAATGGTCTGCCATTTGTAAAGTAATATTAGTAACTTTTAAATCACCCATGTTAATCTTTGAACACTAGAACCTAAATCACATAATGCTTTATTAATGAAAAGATTTCTAATATGACAAGGTATAGAAAAACTACTGGGATCCTTTTATTTTGGTGGAGATTTATTTTGTAGTAATGCACTACATTCCTCATTAAAAGCTACAGTCTCTACCTCATTAAAGGCTCTCTTCCTAGTCAATATATCTTTCATAAATTTAGCATATGCGGGAACTTGTGTAATTAATTATGTGAAAGGAACTGTTACCTGCAAATTTTTGACAACCTCCAGAAACTTACCAAACTACTTATCTAACTTACTCTTAAGGTGTCGATTCGGGAATGGAAGTTTGATGGTAGGGCTTTGGACTTCTCCAATTTTATCTTTATTTTTACCCTTCAATTTATCAGAAGAGTTAGTTTTTTCCCTAGGGCCCTGCAATATTAGGAACAACATTATCAGGAATAACAATATTTGTAATGATAGGTTAATCATCTTTGGGCATAGAAGGCCGATCGTATAATGAACCACTTCTCAGAGTGATTGCATTCGCGTGATCTGTAGGTTGTACTGGCTGTGTTGGAAAGGCTCCCTGCTGGCGAGTTTGCAGAGTAGAGGAAATCTACGCAATTTGATTATCTATAATTTTATTATGAGCAATCAACGTATTAATTTGTGCATCCTTACTCTGCATCTGCTTTTGCATATTAGCTAACATAGTTTTAATTTCAGCTGGGGTAGGATCAGTAGGTGGGGCTGGAGTTTGTTGTGGGGGTCTCTAGTTAGGGAGTTGATAATATTTCTGTTGTTGTGGTTGTTGTGGGGCTTGTTGTTGTGGAGGTGGAGGGTTTAGCACATTGGTACTTCCGGTAGGAAATGTTTGGGTGGTTCCGGAGACCAGGATTATAAGTGTTGGAGTATGGGTTATTTTGCTTATAAGCTTTAAAGGCATTAACTTGCTCCACGGGACACCTAAAATCTTGTGCTCAATGACCTACAATTCCAAAATTTTCACAAAAAGCATCAGAATTAGTATTATTAACAGCAAAAACATTAACAACGGAAGATGAATTAAAAGTAGTAAGATTGTCTAGTTTCTGGCTAATAGAAGTCAATTGAGCTTGCAAAAAGGATATACAGTCGATATTATGTTTCCCCTTATTTGCAAATCCTCTAGGATTCCCATACTGGTAATTATGAATAGCCATCTCATCGATAACATTGCTTTCTACATCCTCTCGTAAATTCATGAATCTTCCATTTGCTGTAGAGTCCAGAATTGATCTTGAAATATTTCCAAGCCTTTTGTAGAAGGCTTGGATTAACTGCCACTGTGGTATCCCATAGTGGGGCATTCTCTATGCATATCCTTAAATCTTTCCTAAGCTTCATATAAAGATTCGTGAGCATCTTAGGAAAAATTGTGGAGTGAGCTTTGCAACAAAGCGATCTTCTCTGGAGGATAATACTTATTATAGAAATTTAAAGCAAGTGATTTCCAATCAGTAATACCAAGTGCAGTTTTATTCAATCCATTATACCTTAATTTAACTTTACCACATAAAGAAAAAGGAAAAAGAATCTTCCTGATTTAGTCCTGTGTGACCCCAGCTTGTCTTATGGTGTGGTAATATTGGCAATAATCTAGAATACGAAGATTCGGATCCTCATTCTTGGTGCCGCCATATTGCTTCCTTTCGATCATGATAATAAACCAAGGTTTGATGTCAAATTGCACTTCTTCGAGATCTTGTGGAGGGGTAAGATGTGGGAGCTCTGTTAAGGAAGGCTGCGAATAATTGTTGAGCTTACGAGGTGGAGCAGCAGTCATATCTGATTCTTGATATGTAGATAGATCTTTGTCGCTTGAATTAGATGGGGGTTCCAAAGGTATATTACCTTCAGAACTAGCTCATACTTGACTTAAAAGATTCTTCTGTCTATGGAAAGAACGTTCAATTTCAGGATCGAATGGAATGTAACCTGATCTAGAACCATTAGGCATAAACACATAACTAAACAAACTAATATGAGAAAATATCCCAACGAACTTGCGTTCTCTGAGACTAAAGAAAATAATTTAGATTACAAAAATAATCAGAAATTAAAATAAAACCGTTTTCCCGGCAACAACGCCAAATTTTGACAAGATACTAGTCGTATCACCTAATCAAAAGAAATTCTTAAATCCTTTAACTAAAGAAGATAAGGAAGTAGGGTCGAA